TGCTATTACAGGGGACTATCGTCAGACAGTGGAACCTATCCCACCTTAAAATAGGCTTTGAGAGCAAATTCTGCATTGGAATAATGCCTCCAAAGGGTAAAGAGACTGGTCAGCAAGCAAAAACCTAAATCCATATCTTAGCTCAAAACTAGGAAGCAATGGCTTTGACAGCTTTGTTTGTCAGCATTACCCCACCCACTAGGTGTGGCTCCACCCGGATGTGATCGACAAGTGCGTTGTTGTTTGTCACCTCACTCGTTCTGCTATCGTCTCTTCGTCGTCTGGTCTCATGTGCGGAAGCCCAATATTTTTTCTGCGATTTGCTCATACAATGCTTGAAATCAACTGCAAGAGACGAATTCTTATTTGAAGCACTGCAAACGGTTTCTCTTGCTTTTCATAAGCACAGATCGTCACTAGCAGCAGATGGGTTTTCGGTTTTTGCACCGCTCCCCTTTCTAGGCCTATCGTGGAATGCCCTTTCATACACCCCTGCAAGTCCGTCTTCAGGTTCAGTCGAACTTAGAAGGCATAACGACAAGTGGGATACTCATTTCAATCCGATCGAAAGATTCCGTTCAGAACGGCTCCGAAAGAGTGAGCGAACTTGTCACGCTAACCGAACAGCGTCAGGCTATAAACACATACATAAAAATAATCTACATGATAAATAGTGGGCGCTTCCATTTTTCCAGATACTGACTTTTTTCGAAATTCCTTATGAACTTGAGCACTGCTGCTTTAAGAGCTGTCAACGATTTTTCCAACATTTTTTTCTGGAAGACAAGCCGGTCAGCATTTGGGCCTCTATTTTGAGCGTGGTATTCCCTAGCGTGGAAAGTTTATCTAAATTCCGCTTCCGCTATCGCCATTTACAGGAATAACTAGAGACCTGACTGGGATAGGAATGGGAAAACCACTAGATAACGGAATAGGTGGGACAGAAACAAAAAAAAACCGAATCGTCGAAAACGCTCCAAAAAAGAACCCTGTTGGTTCCGAGCATTATATGTGAATGTGGCACAGAGATATTGATAATGAGCGTAGAAAAGAAAAACAGACCACGGTATGAGTAGAGAATATACAAGTGATCCAGAGCTATATTAGCGATAGCAAAACGATATTATGAAAGTGGGTCCAGCTCAGGGGCGGAGTCAGTTTATCGTCGCTAACCACGGCACTTTTATCAACAACTTTCTAGTCGTGAAAGTGGATATGCTCAGCGACTGCTGATCGCGCCACCTTGTGCAACAAAAGGGTTCTTGCTTGTCACAAATAACGATTATTCAGTAGGGCACAAGTTGGCTCACAAAAGAATTTAGGCGTGAGGTTGAATGCGTTGCGATAGTCGGCTGCGGACTCACACCATATTTGGACAGCGCTCTGTACCTTGGAAAGCATACCCGAGTGTTTTCCAAGAACAGGCCGGATCTTAATCAGGTTATTCTCTACGTGGGCAGATTTGGATGAAAGTTGGGTTCTAGAGGTAATTGACCTCCTGAACTTGAACATCGCACCCACTTGGCCTGACCTAGGGTATTTTGGCGCTGGCGCTGAAGTAACCTAGGTTACTAAATCCTGCTGAAAACTTGTATACGAAGACCATTTAACATCTTGATTGCATATATCACATTCATTTTTGGCGCTGACGCTGATGGAAGACGCTGTGATTATCTGCGCTCTGGCATTGCTGGCCTGACTGCTAAGAAAAAGTTCGGCACACTTTTTTCTCACAGGACTCAGCCTTAGAAAAGGGTTAAATGGTGCTGGAGTGAATGTCATATTCGTGATCAGGGCATCAAACAACCCCATTGTGCACGTTTTTATCAATTTTGATGAAAAAGGGTGTGGCTCCAAGTCAGCGCCAATGGCGTCAGGGAGGAAAACTAATTCGGTAATCGTGATCAGGACATCAAATAACCATACCATGCAAATTTACAATTTGCTGGGAAAGGTGGCGGCGCCAAACTGGCGCCAATTCAACGCCAGCGCCCAAAACGAGTGCTATATTCGTGATTGGGACACCGAACTATCTCTATGGACTTTTTGGGGTAGTAATAGTTGAATAGTGCCATTTAATGGTATTTTTCCAGCAACAATAGCTGAGCCTAATTTCAACTTCACGCATTCGAACTTCTGGTTACCAGGACGATTGGTGCTCTGATTACCAGTGGAATAGGATTAGACTATAGCATAGGAAAAAAATCATGGAAACCTTAGTTTCGGACAGAACGAAAACTGTCATTCTTCCTCTCAGCTCAATAACAATTTTTTGACGAAAAAGGTCTGCTTTTTTTTCTCCAACAATAGTTTAGTTCGACTTCCTGCAGTGCATTATACCTGAAATAGTTCACGCTTCTGTTACAGCAACGCAAGGCATATGTCGGCAAATCGGCTGCGACCGCTTTTTTCAGGTAACGCGCGTCGAATATGGTGCGAGTCCGTGGTCGACTACTGCAATGCACTGAACCTCACGCCTAAATTCTTTTGTGAGCCACTTGCGCCCTACTGAATAATCGTTATTGTTTGCCTTGTCAGGTAGTCAAGAACGCTGCTTTCTAAGATCATGATGAGAAACTGCTTCCCTCTATAAGATAAGGTCGCTAAGTTTTAGAGCTGTATGGTAGGGTGCTGTAAACTTGAAGAGGGCCATTTGAAAGAATCATTGTGTAAAACTGGGGCTACGTAAAGAGATAAGGATTCGTGGCTAAGTCTAGAAAGGAAATGAGCTCCGAGACTAGCTGGGTAAATCAGCTTCCTGGGGTCAATGGGGATTTCGCGCCACAGTAATCCCACTTGTGCACAATTTCTTCGCAGGCGCCCCACCTCCTTTTCGAGGCAGGCAGCGCGGTGATGATTTCTATTTCCAGATTTCGGTGATATTTTCTGCGAACTGGCCGCTCACGAGTCGCATGCAAATGCAAACGAGGCGTTTACCGTATTCGGTGAAGCTCACCGTCAACTAAGCAAGAAACAGGTGATCGTCTTATCGAAGAATTTAGATAACCTCTCATTAAATCACACTTCCAAATGTCTGTATTGTAGAGCGATTCACTGAAGAACCTGCGGCCGCTTATTGCTGATCTCGTCACATACGTGGACAAAGTAGTTCCTGATACTCAACTCACTGTGAAAAAGTTCGTCCTTCTTGATAAATTTGCTGGCGAAGTTCGGGTTGATGGGGGCACCAAGGGCACTCAGCGAAGCCTGCACAGGCCACCTTGCAAAGACCTGTGAACTCTTGTGACCGGAGTAGATCATTTATACCATCTTGCAGTTTCACACTGGTATGTCTCACCAAAGGAGACCCGTTAGTTGACGTGATTTGGAAAAAGAACTCGAAAAGGGACCTGCGAAAGTGCAAAAAGCCCCTGCGAGGACGAACAGCCCCAATTTTGCTTCTTTCAAATTAACCCAGAGATGAGTGCGTACCAAGGTTGGGTTTTTCTACCTGGTATACCATTTTAATCTCGGATTATTCTGAAGTTAAATGCGAAATTAGGTCCAAGAAAAGATCGGTTAAAACTTCAATGGGTCACGAAACGAAAGAATCCTTAGCAACTCTGGGGCAAGAAATATGAACAAAATGATCATCGAGAAAGCTACACTTTGAGTTGCTTGAAGTCTGATTAGAGAGAGTGGCCGCATCTTCGAGGCAGGTCTGTAGCAGGTCCTGTCCTGGGGAGACGCAAAACACGCACTTCAGTCAAAAAAGTCGTCCATTACGACGTCATGACTCCTCCTCTCCGGATCCTCGTGACCTGACATCAACAACCCCTACGAACGATAAGAAAGGTGAGAGCCTTTCCTCCTGCCTGGAAAAAACTGCGACTATTTTACGTATGTGCAGCGTACACCGTGGCTGAGGAATCCTTAGCGGTGGGGGTCATATTGGAATCGTCGTGGGTGGCAGGAGGTGACACTTAGCGCAACAATGCCTAATTGTTTCGTGAGAGATCGTCAGAAAGTTGAATAGTTCTGATCTCACTCAATTAACTTCAGTACAAGTAAAAAAATGTTGAGAAGGGATGGGTATCAAAATCAAATCAAGGACAAATCAGAACTCACTGTAATTTTCATGTTGGCGCTCACTAGTGAAGTGAGCGCCAACATGAATATATGCAATTATATCACGAAAAAAGAAGAGAACATCCAGAAAATGGAAAGTGATAGCAATTTCTAACATAATATCTGTTACTGGCGCTGTTGGGCTTGGGAGGAGCATTTTGCACTATCGCTAATTTTCTTGCTAGTTCTTGTCAACTAACAGTTAAAACTCTTGTGAATCTGCGAATTGGTAAGAGGGAGCCACTTACTTACGAGAATTTACAAACCTCCACACGGTGACCTGTATAGGCTTATCTGAAAGCTATCTGGTGCCCTCACCAAGCCGAACTACGCCCCAGTTAGTACACTCGCGTCAGTACAAGAATGTGAGCAAAACAGTTCGTAAGACAGATTCTTGAAAAGATGGCTTGGTATGACAGTAAGTATATAGCCTTTTTGGAATTACGAAATGGTTTCTGAATAGTATGGCAAAAAGAGTTTGACCCTATGGGTTGCTTCGATTCCGACGCGAGTGTTGCGCGAGTGATGGAGAATTGTTGGTGGGTTGCTTTGGTGGGGACAAAGCACATTGTGCCATCCAACGCATGTGTAAGACGGACCACCCGCAGGGATGTGGATCGCTTACTGACACCAAAATCCCTTTCACAGAAACATTGATATCAAAAAGTGGAATATGCTGTTATGGGTTTTGAGCCATATTATACGACTCTGAGCTGTTCAATAGCGAGTCGGGAAAGGCTAATGTGTCCCTTTATTCTCGCAGTTTTCTTCATCACGTAGAATTCTTTTATTTTTTTCATCTGGACCGCACGTTACTCCCATCCCGTAACAGCCCGGATAACGGAAAAAAGATGTGTGAAAGTGAGCAGTGGCTAGGAGGATAATAAACGTCTGAAGCGAGCGGAGCCTACGTCAAGGTGGGCGCAGCCAGATTTAAAACTTCGCAAAATGATTCCAGAGCATTAGATACCGAAAGAAGTAGAACAGATCGAACTAGAGAGTGAAGAGTGAAATGGGGAACACGCACCCCAATGGGACGAGCATGGGCGAGCTAGCCGGGGTCAGTGTGAATAATGACTCGGTTCCGAACACTCCAAATAGAAGTGATTCAATTGATTTATTGACCATCATCATCATCGCTCCCAATCAATCACTCTTGTTTGCCGCACAAACATATGACACCAGTCAAATCGCCGGCTGACACCGGCGTTCCTCCTTCTGTGGTCTGGCCTCGCCGGGTGGGCGCGGCACGGCCGTGTATTCCTCGTTTCGTTGTGTCAGAATGCACAAGTGATCTCTGGCATATTTCACGGCTCAGTTCGGCTTAGTGGATGCACCAAACAGACTCACCGTAAATAGTTTGAAACGAGTGCAAAAAGGATATTTCTACAAAATTACTTGCCTCTCATGGTCATTCCTACAAAAAATACTTGCCTCTCATGGTCAGTAGTGCTTACCCAAACTCAAGCCGCTTATTTTGCTTAAGCCAAACTGGAGAATGCCTATGTTTTATTGAGCAAACATTATAATCTGTGCGTGAGGCACTATTCTTCTTTATTGCTTTAGTAAGCGAGCGCCCGCAGTGGAAGCTGCACCATTACCTGCTTCAACACCAATAAGTACTAAAGTTTATCTGGCATATATCTACATACATGTAAAGTAACGATTTGACATACAAACATACTACTACGCGATACATGGCACATAGCGAATAACATACGAACAAGAGAGAAAGGCACAATGAAGCAGGTCTTGATAGTGAGGGCATCGCCCTTAGGAAGATGAGGAAGTAGAGAGGCTGCAGTCGGGAAAAAACCCGTGCAGCGGGATGTCTCCTCGATACAGCTGACTGTCGCTCCGCCTTGAAAAGGCACTAGTCATCATGGAGCAAAGTCAACCACGCTACTCACAAGCGATTACCTTATACCACTATTTTCGCGCCGCGGTACCGGGAGGTTACCTTCGATGCTCCTGATCACAGCAATATGAGCTGGCTGATCGGTTTCGAGCGCGTGGCGATATCTTGTAGGCCAAAAACGGCGCCAACGGTCCCATTTGCAGCCGTAAACTATCTGCCTACGAAGTTCGCTTATTGATTTGCATTATATGAGGTCTTTCAGGGACCCGTTAACGAGATGCTTGGCAATCAATTTTTTCCGCGGAGCCGCTTATAGCGCTCTGCAGAGCTAAGCAAGGCATGGGATGATTCCTCCCTTGACCCTTGCCAGATCAGCCACGTAGCAGACGGGCAGGCGAATGGGGGAATGGCCCTACATCATCATTTCGCCGCTGGGGAAGGATTGACTGTCATAGTGTGATTAGGACGCCAGCATAAGCTCAGCATGCAAGTTTATATGAGTTTTAATGAAGAAGGTGGTGGCGCCAAGTCGGCGCCGGCGTTATTCTAGCGCCAACCGGTCATTCTACATGCCCTTCTCATACTGACGCCGTTGTTTTCGTAATGGAGAGTTAAGGGTTGCCAATACTGATAAAGGGTCTTTCAGATATCTCGATGTCAAATATGAATACTTGTCATATTGCTTGAAACTAAAGGAAATGGACGATGAGGAACTGGAGTACCATTCACTCAATGAGGGCCTTTATCGCGTCGAGACGGGCAATTACGAGTATCGGTAGGTTCTATACTCCATCTTATAGAGAGCCTGAAATGCCTAACAGCCTTCTTTTCTCTATGGTAGATTAGTAGTAATAAATCCCCCTTCACGAGAACCCTTACACACAATTACCAAGTTTTAGTCTTCACGGGTTCCAAGGTACTGCTTCAAGGTGTTGAAGAGGTGCTTCCAGGGGTATAGTTAGTGAATTTCTAGCATTCATCCGTAATACTGCTGTAAATTCGTTATACGAACAGTCAACCAGTGTTCTTGGCTAAAATTTTGGGCGCAGCTCGGCGACGGGGAAGGGCCTT